ATATTAGTAAGTTGCTTATTTCAAGATACTTCAACAGTGTTGAAGTATTCATTGGGATTTTGTGAAGATAGTAATTGAGAGAGATGGTCGATTGTGGATGGTTGAAGCAAATAAATGGTTGCATTACTTATGGAAAAATTTACTGCCTTTTAGAGTTTATTTTAACAGTGAATCTAAGCTATAAGGTGATTACAAATTTGAAAATTTATGTTAAAGTTGTATTTGAATAACAAGCGGACAGAGAGGCGAGGGATAAAAAGAGAAGAAAATGAAAGAAGTTTTACGAGACAGTGGGAGGGTAAACAAAAAGTTTACAAGAAAGAACAAAGTAAATGTCTGGTGTAATTAATTATTTATGATACATTTTTAATATTTCCTTTTATAAGAAAAAATAAAAAAAAAGCGAGTAAAATGTGCGTAAACTTTTTTCCCAGTAATTTTAAACAATTTCTCCTTTTGTTAATTATCATAATTATTATATTTTTAAAAGCTTTGATAGAAACAGAAAAATTTCCAATATTTTTTATATTCATTTATAGTACTAAAAAAAATCAAAATGGATGATTAACCATTTATTAATACAGCTTCTAATATTTCTCAATACAGTATCTATTATTTCCTGATAACAGTTTCTGTTATCCTCAAATACAGTATCTACAATTTCATGATATCTTTAAGAGTTCCCGCTATATACTAAATACAAGTCTCTATTGTTGAATAAAATTTAATATTCATTAATGAGGTGATAATTATCTGCTAATACCGTAACAATTAAGCAGTACAATTCTATAATGCATTGATAAAAGCTGTACTATTTGATAATTAAAATCAATATTGTTATGTCGGAATATAAATTCAGCAGATTTGCATTGTATTGAAAAATTTACAACTTTAAACTACAAATTATCAGCTTACTTTTAATACAACAAATAATGTCTTTATTTCTTGTTCCTTTTTTTGAATTTTAAGAAATAAAATAAAATCATTTCGATATGCTAATGACGAATGAAGTTTGCATTGCACAGATAATTTTAATCGATTGCACAATGAACTTATATGTAATTAAAATAATTGAATCAGTTTTAAAGGAAATTGCAATGAAATTGAACAAGAACTAGAAGAAATTTTATTGCATCAAAATACAAATAAATGTGAGGCAAAGAATTTGCAAGTAACTGTTGAATAATTAAGTAAATTTAAGTATAAGTAGAAAATTGCTTCTTTCTCTAAAACATGTGCAAACAAGAAAATTTTGAAAAATAGTAGAAAAAAAATCTCCGTTTTTTTTTTTTTTTTGAAAAAAGAAAGAACTCCAAATTGTCTGTTAGAAAATAAAAAAATTGCCTTCAAAGTTTTTTTTCAAAAAATCAATCACTTTTAAATGATACATTAATTCATTCTTCTAAGATTTCTTAAGCAAAAAATTTTATATAATTTCAAAATGAACTATATTGACCTGTCTTAGAAAGTGGAAGTTTAATGATTTAGTGAGTTTTTTTAAGGAAGAAAAGGATTTTATGTTCATGCCAGAAAAAAAAAAGCAAAAAAAAAACATAAAGCAAACGATTATTTTAATTATTGAGCTTTAAAAGTTTCAACGAACAAAAACAAACAAATAAAGTTTTGAAAAAAATTCTGATTAATCAAAACAAAATAATTTTTAAATAAAAACTAAGTGTTCCATAAATGGTTTTGTTATGGCAAAATAAGTAAGAAGACTGGCTGTACAAGAAAGCTTTTGGGACAAGTCTTGGCTAATAAATTTATTTATGAATGAATATGCAGAAGGCGCTTTCTTTTATATAATAATTAGATGTGACATATATTTGGATCGTTTGAATTGCACCTATAATTTAATTTAGAAAGGAAAAGCTATCGTTTTCTTTTTTGCTTTTTTTCCTCGGCAATTTTTTAAATTTTCGAATTTAGAATTTAAATTGAGATGTTATAAACTTTGAAATAAAATATTAAATTGAAAACGAGTCGTTTTTACACGTAATTGCATCCATTATTCTTAGCGCATGAACATAATGCCATATATTGTTGCTGAAGGATTAAATATTACAAATTAATGCTATCAGTATACATCTGTTATTATCATTTGCCAAAGATTATAATGATTAATTTCATTGCTGTATATTGTTGGTGTATTATTATTCACTTTTTATTTTCTGTATGACGGAGGTAAAAATTTTACATAATCTCAATTAAGCTTATTTCCAAATAATTACAACTTTTTTCTTTTTTTTTGCAGCAGCAGCATTATCTTTTAATTAAAATAAAGTTTTGTTAAAACTCTTTAAGGCTTTATTTATTTCAATACTACAATACAAATTTACTGAAGTGAAAAAATTAAGTGAAAAAATACTGGAAATGATGATGCACTGATGTTATTTAATGCAAGAAATGAGTGATGAATTTTGGCATTATAAAAAGCATTTATATGAATAGCTGCCAAAGTTTCAAAATAAATACTTATATAGTCCATATAACAAAATAAAACTTAGATTGCATGATTTAAAATTAGAATGATTTCAGAATTATTGTCATTTATCATATGATAATTATAAATAGATCCTTATTATTTCAGATAATTAAATAACCATGTTGAATTAATCATCAATAATGCTATAATAAATGCAATTTTTTCGAATAATAAAATAAATAAGGAATAATTCAAACATTTCATTTTTTTAGTGTTTGCAAATTTTTACTTCACTAAAATGGAAATTATGTTCATATATTTGTAACAGAAATGTATTAACTATATTTGAACGTATATTTAGTGGAAAACTGTGATAAAAGAGCGGTAAAGATCAAAGAGAGATGTTGAATGGGAAAATGACATATGCACGTATATATTATAGTTTAATTCAACTTTCACTAATTAAATGAAAAATTTCAATGACATAAGCTGACGACAGATTGGTTGCTAATTTATTACTATCTTTTGGCCCATTTTAATCTAATAAATGTGTGCATTTGTGCTTGTGTATTTGTGTGTGTGCGTGTGTACGTGTGTGTGTGTGTGTATGTGTGCAGAAATATTTCAGACTTTATTAAACGTATAAAAAACGGTTAAGAACGATAGGCAAAGAATAAATGATAATATAGCATAAAAGAATTTATTAAAAATAATAACAATTTAATTAGAAATAAAATACAAAATTCATCAAAAAGTATAGAATGATGAACAAATGATGATAATGAAAAATTGTGAATAAGATAAAATGATCATATTTAATGCAAAGGAATAAAAAAATAACAATATAATTGTTACCATCATTGTTATTATCACTATTATTATTACCATTATTATCACCATTATTATCATCATTATTATCAGCATTATGCAAATGACAGTTCGAATTCTATTCTCTTAAAATAAATTATTTTAAAAAAAGAACAAAAAAATTATAATTAATAATCGAAACGATTAAATAATGCTGAATATAAAATAAAAAGAAAAAAAATTGAAAAAGAAAAAAGAAAAGATATATCAACAGGAAAGGGAAAGAGATAGAAAAGAAAGGAAAAAAAAAGAGTAATAAGATTATTTTGTACAAGTTTTTATTTAATTCATACTGAACAATTTATATTTGGTTGTTGTATAATTTACATGAATGTAAGTATTGCTCATTAATTAATTCCAGTTTGATTATTTTTTTTCTAATATTTATAAATGGTAATAAAGGTTTACATCTATTAATGTTGTTTAAAAACAAATTTTAGCTTCTTCTTTTCTAGCATAGAAGAAAACAAAAAAGGAATTGAATTTTTCAGTATTATTTTTATTAAAAAAGTAAATTAATTACTAATGAGCAATATTTTTTGACATTAGCATTTATAAAAATTTGCAAATTTATTACAAGTTTATTAACAGTAGCTGACTTACAAGCTAAATAATAATCAATTCAGTACCATACGATAATATCAATAATCAATTATAAGGCAACAAATAAAAACATAAATTTGTTATCAAGAAAAGCAAAAGAAAAAGTTCTAACTTTAAAATATGAAATAAGCAATACTGCTTACTATTTGTCACTTTTTTCTTGCAATTTAAATTGAACCGAAAGAGAATATTATTTAAATTCAATAAATATTTAATACATACATAAAATATGTAAACAATGAAAATAGAAGAAAATTATTCGGGAAAAAAGGCAGAAAGGAAAGAAAGTAAGAAAAATAAAAAGAAATATTTCAATTTTTTTTATTGTTAGCTTTCATCAACAACTTCCGTCGTTTCTAAATCGGTAATTGCTGATAAATCGGTATGTGTCATTGGTCTTCCAACTAATTCACAATAACCATCTGCAGTTATTTTCTTACATTCGTTGAAAATGATAAGAAATGATTAATTTAAATATTTTACGTTACCAGCTTTTTTTTTTCTTGATAATCTCAACATTAACAAATTAAAGTTGTTTCATTTTAAAAACAAAAAAGCTTTTTTTTTATATTAAAATATACTTCAAAAATTTCAAAATTTTGAATGTTTTTTTCTTTCGAAATATTCAATTACTTGAAATTATTGAGTATTATAATAGATGGACGAAAAAGTTTTCGTCTTCATTTTTTATATTAAAAATTTCAATGAAATTAAAAAAATTTTACTGATAAACAAACCAGGTGGCGGTAAAGTATCACCGGGAACAAATTCAACATACGGACATTGTTGACTGTTCAGATCATTAAGATGTTCACAGAGATATGCAAATGATGGCCGATCATTTGCATTATGTGACCAGCATTGAATCATCACACCGTATCTAAATTTCAAAATTTCAAAAACGTCTCTTTATTTTAGACTTTTATAATAGAAAAGTAAACGTGAAATAATTAAACGTAAATTTTTGTACTTGAAATTTTTTTTTGATTATCTTATTTTTTGAAATATTTTGAAATATATTTCAAAAATGTTTTTGAAATATTTTTATACTTAGAATTTTTTA